TTCAGCCAATCAATACGCTTAGGCTGGGTCTACATAGGATGTAGTAAAGCCCGCTGCAGACGATGCTATTTTTTCTGCTGGATTGCTTGCAATCTAATAAATTACTATCGTTGCACCATTCAGCAATCAGGCTTCCTAGTAATTTAGTAAATCGCAAGCAATCCAGCAGGAAAAATAGCATCGTCTGCAGCGGGCTTTAGTCGTGTCGGAAGAAATTGTCCAATCACAGTTCATTATTCTTCGACCGTAACGAGAATAATGAACTGTGATTGGTCAATTTCTTCCGACACGACTTACGACATCCAATGTAGACCCACCCTTAAAAACTTTGTCGTACGACAAATGTAATACCAGCCTTAGGGTACTATTACATTTGTCGTACGACAAAGTTTTTAAGCGTATTGATTGGCTGAAGGATAGTAAAATTCTCGAGTATCTAGAAACTTTCTATTCAGCGGCCAATCGACACGCTTGAAAAATTTGTCGTACGACAAATGTAATAGTACCCTTACGGTCGAAGAATAATAAACTGTGATTGGTCAATTTCTTCCGACACGACTTACGACATCCAATGTAGACCCAGCCTAAGAATAGTCGACTATGATTGGTCAATTCTTATGTGTCTGACGGAATTGACCAATCGCAGTCGATTATTCTTACGACTACGACTTTACGACTTCTATGTAGACGAGGCTTGAGACTCTTCCACATACAACTCAACGTATACGTACCGTACGTACCCTTGCACATCTATGGAGTGCTAATCTATTCAAAGAATTATCTAATTTCTCCGTAGTCTCGGCATCTCACGTAACCTGACTAGTCCGGACTCGCACTTGGTAATCCCGGTATTCCTCGTTGACAGTAGTCGCATAGCGGGTGAACGCGAGCATACGCGTACCTCGTCGACGATGGCAGGGTTATTCCGCGTGAATTGCGCGCAAGGACTGCGCCGGGGATTAACCCTGATGTCGCCCAAGGAGACGACATGTCGCAGGATAGCGACGTCGCGGCTCCTCTGCGACAGCGCCAAGAACGAGATAAAGCCCGCCAAGAGGAAGTGGGTGAGCTACGGCTTCAGCAACACGGACGAGGCGTTAGACCGGCACTCTATGCACCAGACCATGTTCGTCGTGGTGTCCATCGTCTTTGTGCTCGGCTCCACCGTCATGGGCTACCTTCCTGACGTCCGAGGCAGGGACTGGGCGCAGCGGGAGGCGTACCTGCAGATCCGCTACAGAGAGGAGCACGGGCTGCCCCTCATCGATCGCAACACGATTGATCCGTCAAGGATAATACTGCCCACTGACGAGGAGCTAGGCGACATGGAGATTATCATTTAGAGTCTCGACGTAAGAAACGCACGTCGCGTCTCGAGAACGTCTGAACTTGGAGTGTTGTTACCGCCCGTTTACTTAGTACTTGTTAAAACAGCAGTTTAAGGATAGCATTGTAATAAACACTGCTTCTGCGCGGATCAAAGTCTTTTTCTCAACCTGCGAGACGAAGCTCTCGCGATTTTTGCAGCCTTCGTGTCGCCCAAACAAAATGCACTGGATACAGAAGCGTGTATATACTGTCACGAATAAACATACGTACCGAATGTTAATTGTACGTAATTAAAATTGTCATATACGGAAAATTTATGAACGTGGCGAGTTCTTTAATGATGACGCAATATAGTATAATTAGGATCTTGCGATAATTTTATTTATGTACATTATTACATTACATTATCATTCTCTTTGATACATATTGGTACACATTAAAAAAACTTTTCATGCGCATCACATTCTCGATATTTATTAAAAGAGATAAGACTTGAGGAGGCATTTGTAATCTTTCTTTGGTGAACACGACAATTTACATGTATATATGTATACATTCAGATGTATATTTGTATATCAGTGCATTAGAAGTGAACAATGTTAGGTCACATTTTTCGCAAAAGTGAGATTTTTATCTGCTTGACGGACAGATTCGAAAAATATAAAAATCTTGCTTCTGCAAAGAAAATGCGACTCGACATCGTTTGCTTTTGAAACGCTGATATTTACACATATACATTACATACAAATATATACATAAAATTTTCACCAGGAAACAATTATGAATCCCATCCTTAGTTTTACAGGCTCGTTCTCTGTCCCGCTTAGAACGGACGAAAGATTGAAATTTTATTTAACCGGCACGCTTAAAAGTATTACTTTATTAAAGTGAAAATTATATCCTCTTCTATTTAGTTTTTAATAAAAACGTGCGAGGTCCTTACTGCGTGGACGTCGGCAACGTCGTCGAAGCGACGGTAGTGGTGCTGATGCCAGGTGGCAATTGATTTTGCTGTTGAAGAACAGATGGATAGAAGGGAGTGTTCTGCGGGAGCGAGGCGGTGACTGTGATAGGTGGCATTCCTGGCAGTGAGATGGGTGTCGTTACAAGATTAGACTGGGGCATGGTAAATCCAGCAGTCATATTCGCACTAGAAATAGGATTCTGCTCTCTCTGCAATACTGGGACATTGATTGTGGTCGTACCGTGGGCGGGATTCTGTTCTCTCTGTTGCACCGGGGCACTAGCCGGGCCAGGCGGTGCGATTGGAACTTCATAAGAATTGGTAACGCTCGGTGGCAACGCCGTGATGGTCGGCATACCGGGAATGTTTGGAGTTATCGGATAAGTGCCTGGACAATTTAAAAAAAAAATGAATGAATGCACACGTCTAGATAGTTAAATGCCGAGAGGGTGCGAACTATAAAATTGTCTTTCTTCCGCCGAAAGCGCCATGGAGATAAAAACTTTTCGTTAACATTTAATAAAATTTTCAGCAAAAATATAGAAACTATTGGACAGTTATAGACTCTGCTTTTATTTTTAAGGATTATCTCTAAATGGCAATTCTTCCGTAATTACTAAAAATTTAATTTATATTTGAACTATAATATAATATTTACATATTAAGAAAATACACAAGATCAATTCTGTATCTTACGATACAGCGAAAATGCTAAAAGTGAGCGGCTTTGTCTCTTTCTAAAGGCCTACGTCTACGATGCTAGAACTTGGG